TTGCTCTTTGAAATTATCATCCTGGATACCATGTGGAGAATGGGATATGGGTCACGATGTGGGTGCAGGGAAACCAGTCAGGAGGCTGATGCAATAATCCAAGAGAAAGATGGTGGTGGGTTGGCTCAGAGTGGTAGCATTGGAAACAGAAGCTTTGGAGTTACCTATTGGAGGTACCAATAGGACTTACTTTCAGATTGGAATCTAGTTATGATGAAAGAGGAGAAAATAAGACTGAGTTTCAGTTTTGGTGCCCAGTTGGGTAGATTGGAAAGAATTGTGGAGGAGGAAATTCTGGAGCATGGGAGAAAGTCAGTGATTCTGGTTTGGTAATGTTGACACTGAGATGCCTGATAGACATCCAAGTAGAGATAAAGTGGGTAGTGACATGAGTCTGGAGCTCAGCAGAGAGGCTGGGATGGAACTGGATTAGATTAACTGGAAGAAAGTGTAGTTAGAGAAAAGAGGGTGGCTGAGGACAGACTGTTAGAACTAGCCAGCATTTTATATAAAGGAGGAAGCAGTAGAGAAGACTAAAAAGTTGAGACCTGTGAGAGCAAGGAAATAAAGTAAGGTTGTGTGATTGCTGTTTTGTCTCAAAAGTCTCCAAAAAAAGTGTATCAGAAGGAGGGGACAACCAACTCTGTCAATTGTTGCTAAGAGGCAGAGAAAATGAGGAGAGAAAATGAACCACTTGGCAAGATATAGGGTGCTGGAATGTGGAAGGAGAGGTACAGGAGAAATAAAAGTATAGAAGTAAAGAATAGATGGTAAATAATTTGGATCCAGGAGGGAGAAGGTTATGTTTGGGTAGCAAGGTGACCACCGGGGGGTGGGGGGTGGGGGTGGACCTCACTAGGGAGCATCAGTAACTCTTTTTGAGGATGATTAGAATGACAAAGTCTAGGGACAAAACTCAGGTTTTAGAAGCAAGAGCAAAGGCTACATAACCAAACAGCCCAGACCAAATCTTGTGACTGAGTAACTGGGATTTGTTGGGCTCTTGGAGTTTGCTGTGTCTCTGTCCCAAGGGAGCCTAAAATGCCCTTGTATCTTCTGACCTATACAGTTAATTTGCCTGGTTGGCTAAGCTTCTGTCTCTTCTGTCATGAGTCCTCCACAAAACCCCCTTCCAATGATGTGCTATCAAAGAGGATGACATTCCCAACTAGAGGAGCACCACTCTTTGAGCAAGAGGATATGAGTAGAAAATTAGATAAGGTATAAATCAATCATGACAATACCAATGGACAGCAGAAAGCGGCATCACAGCAGTGTAGAAGAGGTCATGGGGAGATTGATACGATCCCACTTGAGCAGATACTAGAACCTGCAATGATGAGGGAAAGGGAAATAGTGAGAAGAGACTTGATGACACGTAATTCCACTAGACTAGAAGGCCTGGTATTAAAGAAAGCTTCAATTTTGAGTTGGGAAATGTAGGTTTGGGTGAAACTGCAGAAAGCCTGAACGTCAGGTTAAGACACTTGGGCTATATTTGCTAAGAACGAGATCCCAAGGTTTGTGAACAAGATGATGTGATGATCAAAATGGTAAAAGCACAAAGGGAAACTAGTCAAGCATTGAGCTTGACTATTACAGCTTGAATATTACATTATGCCTGTTGAGATGTGCTCGTAGCTCACTATAAGGAAACAGTATGCATCAGGATTTCGTGAGGATAGCTTTTATCTTTTTTCTTTCTTTCTTTCTTTTTTTTTTTTTTT